CCACTCCCTTCTAGTGCTGAAGAATTGCCTAGGTGGACAACAAACCCACAGCAAACCTTTATAATTAAATAATAATAGGATTCCAGGCATCTCTTTTTTTTCCTCCTCCACATGGGAGACAAAATTAGTTTTCATGACCAGCAACCCACCAAGAAGCCCTTTCTGCTTTCTGGACTTTCTACCTGCAGAGATAACGCTCCACTTCTTGAACTTCTGCTACGGTTTCTTCGTCCTCAGGAATCGAGCGCGCTTCAAACTTCCGGTCCTGAAGGTCATACAGCATCACCACGACTAAGCTGGTCAGGTCATCAGACTGTAAGAGGACCAGTTGGGCATCAAGACCAAGAAACCCCAACACTGATCGTCAACTTACAACTGTTCGAATAGTTCGAACCATTCAAAGTTACAACGGCACTGAAAAAAGATGACTTTTGACCATTTTTCACACTTATGACCAAGGGTGGGCTGCCACTGGTTTGCCCGGTTTGGGTGAACTGGTAGCTAAATTTATCATTTTTAATTACCGGTTTGGTGAACCAGTAAATCCCACTCCTGGCTGGTCCTGTCCATCCTTCCCCTCCCCAGAGTCCCCACACAGCTCGTTTTGGATGCCAGGTAAGTACAGGGTCCATGTGAAGGCTAAGGATGGCTGGAAAACGTGCCTCGGGAGCCCGGGGAAGGCCGTTTTCCCCCTCCTGGAGGCTCTCTGAGCCTCTGGAGTCTGAGGAGAGTGAAAAATGAGCTTCCTGGAAGTTACAGAAGGCCAGAAATGGCCTCCGGAGCCTGAGGGAGGCTGTTTTCGCCCTCCCGGAGGCTTGAGGAAAGCCTCTGGAGCCTGGGGGGTGAAAAATGGGCCTTTAAGAAGGCCAGAAATGGCCTCCGGAGCCCGGGGGTGGCGTTTTCACCCTCCTGGAGACTTGAGGAAGACTGCGCCAACCGAGGTGGAACTTCCAAGCAATATATGAACATCGTACTTATTTATTTTTAACGTGAAACCCAGTGCGTCTGCGATAAGTTTTGCTTGAACTATGTTGCCGTGGAAACAAGATTAATATTTGAAAAAATAATAATTCAGTGTCCACTCACTATGGATTGCAATGGGTAAACGCCGCTGTCTATCAACATGTATTCCAAAACGTCTTGATCTGCAGGAGAGGAAAGGAAGAAGGTAAGGAAAGGCAGTGCAAATGACCCCACAGCGATCTTCAAAGGATCAGATAGTATTTCAAAAAGTTTAATGGCCTGAAAATAGATATACAGATACCAGATTACAGATGTAACAGAGTTGGATGGAAGGGATCTTGTAGGTCATCTAGTCCAACTCCTCCCTCAAGCAGGAGACCCTACACCATTACTGACAAGATGGCAGTCCAGTCTCTTCTTGAAAGCCTCCAGTGATGAAGCTCCCACAACTTCCGAAGGCAACTTCTGTTCCATCAGTTGACTGTTCTCACTGTCAGGAAATTTCTCCTTATTTTTAGATTGAATCTCTCCTTGATTAGTTTTCATCCATTGTTCCTTGTCTGGCCTACAGGTGCCTTGGAAAATAGCTTGACCCTCCTCTCTATGTAAGCCCCTCAAATATTGGAAGACTGCTATCCTGTCTCCCCTGGTCCTTCTCATCCCTAGACTGGCCAGGCCCAGTTCCTGCAATTTTTCATTGTATCTTTTAGCCTCCAGTCCCCTAATCCTCTTGGTTGGTCTTCTCTGCACTCTTTCTAGAGTCTCAACATCTTTTTTTATAGCGTGGCGACCAAAACAGGTGCAAAGGAGGGAATCACAATTCTTTAAGTTCCACGTTTGAATCCAGGCCGCCATTTTTAGAGACATGTTAGAATCGGTGGCTCAGGGGCTAAGACGTTGAGCTTGTCGATCAGAAAGGTCAGCAGTTCGGTGGTTCGAATCCCTAGCGCTGCATAATGGAGCGAGCTCCTGTTACTTTTCCAGCTTCTGCCTACCTAGCAGTTTGAAAGCACGTAAAAAAAAATGCAAGTAGAAAAATAGGGACAACTTTGGTGGGAAGGGAACAACGTTCCGCGCACCTTATCGGCGTTTCGTCATGCCGGCCACTTGACCATGGAGATGTCTTTGGACAGCGCTGGCTCTTCAGCTTTGTAACGGAGATGAGCACTGCCCCCTAGAGCTGGAAACAACTACCACATATGTGCGAGGGGAACCTTTACCCTTAGAGCCCAGTACTATTGTCCCCTTGTTCGGTTACATTCAATCTCACCCATGGGTATATGTGTGAGAGAGAGGGGGAGGAGGAAGAGGGGGAGGGGGAGAGGGGGAGGCAGAGAGAAGAGAGAATGAGAGAGAGAGAGAGAGAGAGAGAGAGAGAGAGAGAGAGAGAGAGAGAGAGAGACTGATCACTGCGAGAAAACAGCAGATTCTCCCTTTGCATAGGGGAACAATTTTCAGCCGTTTCCTAGGGACTCAGACTGGATTGCTGTCTTTTGGCACAGCGGTTCAGACATAGCTGCCTCTGTTTTGCCAGTTACCCAGGGTAACTCTCTCACCAGCCCACTTTTACTAATGATTGACCTTTCGGGATTAAAAAGATGATGATTGACTTTAGCGGGGGTTGGATGGGAAAACATTTGCACAGTCTTCAAAATGGAAGATTCCTCCAAATGCTGGGAGATTCGACGATGTTATGTTTGCATGGATTGAGTCCAATTCTTTCCTCTTTTTTTTCCCCCTTTTTTCTTTTTGGGTAGGGTTGCAGGTTTTAATGGATGTATTTTTCCGCTTTTTTAAATATTTACTTTTTAAAATATTTTGTTTTTGGAATATTTACACAGCCACCCACCCACCTTCTATTTTACAGTTTTTGAAATATTTACATAGCCGCACCCATTCTTCCGACAATGCGGAAGGATGGGGGTGGCTCGGTAAACATTTTAAATAAACTACACAGGCACCCTGGACTTACGGCCATTCGTTTAGAGACTTTGGACGGTCACTAAAATGAACTTCTTACCTGTGCGCTAAGATTGATGGGCCTGCCAGTGCAACACGGAGCGTTATAAGTATAAAGTAGGGGTGTGAAACTCGATTTCATTGAGGGCCACACCAGGGTTGTGTTTGGACTTTAGGATGCCCAGGGTGGGCGTGGCCAGCTTGATGTCACTCACCAAGGCTCCATTTTTGGCTGTGAGGGCCTCCTGCAGCCTTCTGCCAGTGAAAAACAGAGCTCAGGGAGGCCGTGTGCACCCAGCCTGGGCTTGGTTTTCACTGGCAAAGGGCTGCAGGAGACTGTCAATGCTGAAAATGGGAGCCCGGAAGGGCTATATGCGGCCTCCCCGAGCTCCATTTTTGTTGGCAGAGGGCTGCAGGAGGCTGTCACAGCTGAAAACGGAGCCCGGTTGTGGCTACATGTGGCCCTCCTCAAGCTCTGTTTTCGCCGTGGGCCGGTTCTTCTCTATTGCCAGGAGGGGCCTGATCGAAGCATCCCGCGGGCCAGATCCAGCCCCTGGGCCTTGAGTTGGACATCCCTGGTATAGACTTGAGGCAACTCCAAGGCCCGTAAATGCGTTTTCTACTTACATTTTAGAGCGCTGAACGCCAGTTCGTAGGACAAACGCTGGGATTCTTCGTCTTTGAAATCCGGAAGAGATGGCAATGGGCCGGTGCCATATTTCACCAGGATTTTGTCGTCAGGTTTTTCATTACGGACGCTTTGGAAAATGTGGGCGGCACTGAGGTATAGGGGGTCCTGATACCCAGTTTTCACAACCACCTCTGTCGAACTGATGTCAGAAGGCAGTATCTCACTGGAAAATATTGTTTCGTGCATGCCAGAAAGCTCATTTGCGACATTATGGTCTGCGGACCCCAAGCTGCTCCTTAGAATTGGCATTGTTGTCATCACAGATCGGGTTTTTTGACGTTGCAGGTGGTAAATCAGAATCTTAAAAGCCCTGTGGAAATACAGAGAAGGTCCAAAATGGGCATTTACAAGAAACATCCAGTTGAAATTTATTTTGTGCCTGGCAACCTTGCAACCCGACATGCAACCAATCAATCCATGATGAAAACATTATTATGCTATAATAGCCAAATGGACCTTTAGTTGTCCACATACCTCCCTCTGAGGTCACATATCTAGGGAAGTGAAGCTGCACCAGTTGAATATCCAACTATCAGCATCAGCCAATGTTTGTTGCAAGAAGGATGGTGAAAAACCACAATATCACCCCACCCCATCCCAAAAGAGCAACAGTTTTGAATTTGGCAGCCTCAGGTTTTGGGATGACCTGGGGTGTGGCACAAAGGCAACAAAGCCAGAGAAGAGATATGAGCCTTTTGATTTGTTCCAACGTTGGCCCCAACGTGCCGTTTACTCTCCGGTCTGGAGAAAAGCTCTCCCATGAACCTGCAACAGCCTCTGGCTGCAGATATTCCTGTCCAAATGCTGTAAGCAGACTGACTGCAGTCAATCACTCCAGCAGGGCAAGATAATGAGTCCCAGAAGCAAAGAATCACAGCAATAATTCCAGCAAGGCAAGATAACCCACAGGAGCACGGCAATAATAATTCAAACAGTCAGGAGGAAGGCCAGGAATGCAGGCCATAACTCTCAACACTAAATGAATTCAGTATTTGTTCCCGACAAATGCCCCTCCCCACTGCCTCTCCTTTAATCTCCCTCTCCAGGTGTGCCTTGTGAAAGGAATCAGGGCCCTTTCCTTCCTCGTAAGCTACGCCACCCACGTTGCTCTCTTCTGCATTCTTCCCTAGGATGAGGAGGGAGTGGGCCTTGGTCTTCATCTGAACCCTCTCTCCCTTGTTCTACCTCTGCCCAGCCTGACTTTGCCCTTCCCTAGTTTCCTCCACAGCCAACCATGCTCCCTTTCTCGGTCAGCTGTTCATCTTCTGTCTCAGAGTCAGACTCCAACTGGGGCATGACAGGTTTGGGGCTTCACCCACCCTCATGCTAGCCTTTCTCTGCACGAGAGTCAGATTAGAAGACCCCTGAGGTTCCTTCCCACTCCGAGATCATCCTAGAACAAGCCAAGTCCAAAAATGCCAGGGGATTTTATAAATCAGCCATCAACAGACACATAGACATGAACAACATCTACAGAGGATGCAAAAGAGGCCATCAAACAAAGCACCTCTCTGTCAACAATCAGCAACCAGATCAACACCAAGGTTAACATCAGCTCAACAATCAAGTCAACAACGCCCCAATCAAAAAACTGCCAAACATACTTAATTTTACGTGTATTAATGGCAGCAAGAATTGTGTTTGCACAACAATGGAAAAAAAATGAAGAGATCCCTACAGATGAAAGTATTATTTAAAAAATATGACAAAGTGCTGAGATGGATAGGTAAAGGTTCCCCTCACACATATGTGCTAGTCATTTCCAGCCAGCGCTGTCCAAAGACGTCTCCGTGGTCATGTGGCCGGCAGGACTAAACGCTTTTGAAGGCACATGGAACGCTGTTCCCTTCCCACCAAAGTGGTCCCTATTTTTCTACTTGCATTTTTACATGCTTGCGAACTGCTAGGTTGGCAGAAGCTGGGACAAGTAACGGGAGCTCACTCCACGACGCGGCGCTAGGGATTCGAACCACCAACCTTTCTGATCAACAAGTTCAGTGTCTTAGCCACTGAGCCACTTAAAAGAAAAGGAAGAAACAAAAATACTTTTTAACATGGGACTTGTTTTACCAATGGTTAACTAACAAAACAGAAGTTAGAACCTAAAAAAACCCAAAAAGATAAGGAAAATGTTTTGGTATTGAAAAATTTATAAGATGGGCAAACTGATTGTATTACTATTTTGTGATTAATATTGATATGTCTATTATGATTAATGTTGTATCTCTACTTACAACTGACTGTGCCCAGACAACACGCTGTTCAGACAGACATGGAATTCTTTATTTGTATTTTTAAAAATGTATCAATAAAACATATACAAAGAATGAATGAAAGAAAGAAAGAAAGAAAGAAAGAAAGAAAGAAAGAAAGAAAGAA